CCCGTGGAGACGGAGACCCTCTGTCTTCCTCAGACATCCCAGACCTGAAGCAGCGCCTGCAAACCCTCCATCTACTCATCCTGCTCCTCCCAGAAGTCAACCGGAACACCTTGCAGGTAAAGGTGACCACAGATGCCTCTGCTGGGGAGTGGGGGGCGGGCGCAGCCCACCACCACAGCCATGGCTCCAAGTGTGCTCAGTTGGTCAGTTGACACCCATGCCAAGCACTGGGTACAGGGGTGACCAGCAGTGGCTCTCCCAAGGTGTGTTTCCTGCACAAAGAAGTTGGGTCCTGAAACAGAATCCTGTCTCTGGAGTAGGCCCTGCAGACCATCCATTCTTCTGACCATGATGGGCATTACAGGGGAGCGGGTGCTGTGTCCAAATAAATTCGGGGAGCAAGCCCGGGTGGGAGAAGCAAAGTCAAGGCTAGCTCTTTCAGACAGGACGGCTCAGAGTCGGCCACATGTGGAGGCTCCGTGTGTTTCCGAGTGGGCTTCCAGGAGGCAGCATGTCCCAAACTCCATTGCTCAGCAGCCACTTTTGTTGTGGAGAGCAGGGCATGGCACTGGTGTTCTGGGGGGTGGGGGCAGGAGGGGCAGTTTGGGAACAGCCCCTTAGGGAAGTCCCTCTCTGTGCTGTTGGAGTGGGTGTCCGAGACTAGGACACAGCCTTGACCTTGCTCCTTGCGCCATCCAGAGTGTCTCTGGGTCAGACTCAAGATAAACTGCCCGAGTGACGGTGTGAAGATGCCCAGTAGCCCCTGGGACCTTGATCTGGTGCAGATGGTGGGGCCCCAAAATCTTTTGTAACCAGATAGAACTGGGGTTGAGTCACCTTCCTCTTTTGTACCTCAATTGTGCCTGAAGAAACCCATCTGTGTGTGTGTGTGTGTGTGTTTACTTTTCAGTAAACCAAAGGTAACATGTAAAGGTGTTTCCTGTGGTTTGGGGGCACCTCCCACATGTCCCCACTTGCACGGCAGGCTGTTTGGGGCCGGGAGGATGGGTTCTGGAAAGTGCTGGAATGCAGGGAGGCTCTGTGCCCTTCCCCAGGTGCTCCTGGAATTCCTCAGGAAGGTGGTGGCCCGGGAAAGGAGCAACAAGATGACGCTGTGGAGCGTGTCCATGGTGATGGCCCCGAGTCTCTTCCTGCAGCACGGGTGGCCTCCCAAAGTCCCCAAGGGCAAGGAGAAGCAGCTGGCTGAGGGGGCTGCCCAGGTGGTGCAGCTGATGGTACACTACCAGGAGCTGCTGTGGATGGTAGGTGCTGCGGGCGCCAGCTGGCAGGGAGGGAGTGCCGCCTGGTGGTGACAGGTGGCTGACTCCAGCCAGGGTCACGTGAGCCATCCTCTGGAACCTAGTGTCTGCTCCTGTTTCCCTGCAACCTGCTCCCTAAGCCTGAGGACCACAGACTCTGTGAGCCCCTCCATCTGGGCTGTATCTCCTCCCTCCCCCTGCCTTAGTGCCGGAGAGGAGTCTTCATGTTGTGTCTCCCAACACACTGGCAGTCACCCCCCTGCCCTCTGCTGTGCCCTGGGTATCAGCTGTTATCTGAGCCCCACCAAGAGTCCCCCCACACCCGAGCTTGACTGATGCAGAGGAAATCCACCCTGAGGCTCAGGCAGACGGCACCTACCTAAGACAGAGGCTGGAGCTGGGAACCACTGGGACCCCGCCTTCCCACCACAAGCCTTGTCCCAAGTAATAAGCCAAAGCAAGAGCAGGGAGAGACCCCCTGTGAGGTGGGTGCGCAAGTTCTGTTGAAAGGCGAGGGTGATCTTGCCAGCGGAAGACCCCTCCAGCACTCGAAATTCACAAAGACAAGATGGACCGTGGGAGCAGAAATAAAAGGCTGCTCTCAGCGCCACCATGGGGCTGACCACCCTGTGGGGGAGAGAGAGTCCCGGTGCGTGGCTTTCATCGCTCACATGTCAATTTGCTATGAAACACGCTGGCTTTATTGTTTAAAATCATTTTGTTGGGGGATCACACAGCTCTTATCACAATCCATCCATTGTGTCAAGCACAGTTGTACATGCGTTGCCCTCATCATTCTCAAAACATTTTCTTTCTACTTGAGCCCTTGGTATGAGTTCCTCATTTTTCCCCTCCCCCTCCCACCGTCCCTCCCTCACAAACCCTTAATAATTTATCTTTTTTTTTTTTCATGTCTTGTACTGAACATGTCTCCCTTCACCCACTTTGCTGTTGTCTGTCTCCCTGGGAGGGGGTTATATGTAGGTCATTGTGATCAGTTCCCCCTTTCTACCCCACCTTCCCCTTCCCCTTCTGGTATCTCTACTCTCGTTATTGGTCCTGAGGGGGTTATCTGTCCTGGATTCCCTGGACACACTGACTTTTAATACTTTTTATTATAAGGATTTTGATTTTTTTTTTTAATGTAAGAAATGCTTCCATACCTTCTCATTAAAAGCTTCAGGCAGCATACTCCTCAACCCAACCCCATCTGAGTCGTTCCGAGTCATGTGTTAGAGAGCAGGGTTTTCTTAGCTGTAATCTTGATGCAGTAGCAGATCTCTGGGCCTTCTTGGGTTTGAACTGCCAGCCTTTAGATTAACGGTCAAATAA